ATTATCACTATCCCAGCAGAGCAGAGGACCGGTCTTGCAAATGTGTAAACCCTTTCTCATTGGGTTGACACATTTTCCCTACCATTTTTCCAAACAGTTAACACAGATGTCATTCAAGCAGTCCAAACTCCATTGTTTTAGTTTTGGTAACCAAACAGAATCCATCTATTCCTAACTATTAAAAACTACCAACATCAGTATGAAATCGCTGAACTGAACTGAAGCACCGGTTTGACACTCCTTCACACAAATCTTCAATTAGCCATCATTCTGCAAACCTTATAAAAACGATGGAAGGTATGTGTTGTTCTGTGCCAGCATTGATGGAGGAGGTCAATATGGCTATGTCCTATACTCCCAATAGTTTTGACTGTATATTAGTTTACATGTGTTTTCTCTAATATTTACAGTATTTTGTTACTTTTGCCTGTTTTTTTATATACAGTATTTCAGTTTTCAGCTACAGTTTGAAAAATGTCATGAATTCAATATATATTCAATCAAAGCACATCTTATTCTTAATCCAATTCTTTGCAAAAAGGCGAATTTGACAGCCCAAATAGAGACAACAAATGCCATTGGCTATAAGCTACAATGGCAAGCAATGGTGGTGCATTTTGAGTTCTGTATTTTGTATTTTGTTGTCCATTGTGTAATGATTAATTGAAAGAGCTCAAATACTTGTTTGCAAGTTGTGTAGTTTGAAGGTAAAACTAGCTTTTGTTGCATATGTTAAATGTTTTGACACGATATGTGCCTTTTGCAAGCAAAATGTGTCATTTTGACCATGAGTGCCGCTGTTTAGGCCTGTGTGTTAGCTGTTTTGAAAATGTGGAGTTTCAGTTGACAACTGCATCCAAGCAATCGAGAAAAACTGTAATGGATAACAGAGTGTTTTTGTGACACAACTTTTATATCAACTGTTAATATAATCTGTCACATGTGGTTCAAGCGTGTCAGAAATACGATAAAAACGTTCTCCTAATTCACGTGTCTGCCGCCAGAAATACAGTGTGTGTGTGTGTGTGCGTTCCCGGCCTGTCAACTGTTAGCTCAGCGGCTCTTTAACACACACACGCACAGAGAGAGAGAGCAAACCAGAGTACTGGCATGAAACTTAACAGGTACGAAAGTCGTGCAATTTTAAAAAATGACCAATAAAAGTCTGTTATTGATCCTCTGCTGGCTGATTTGCTGTTCATTCTAATTTTCTAATTCTAATTCTAGTTTTATTTCGTGTGTTGTTTTTACCACGGTTTGTGTTTTTCTGTCATTTCGAAATGACACTAGCCTATATTTTCACTTTGTCACAGTTATTAAATCAGTGTGTCAGTGGCACAGTACAGGCTACGTGTGTGTGTCAAACATTTTGGTGAATTACATTTGTTTGGGCTGGTTATATATTTGAAATAAAGAGAAAATATTGACTTTAGCGATGACAAGGCTTCATTTAAACTGCAGAAGATGCCGTCTGACAACGAGGGGAAAATGTCTCACAGCAGCTGTTTTCCATCCTATTAGATTGCATTTCTTTAAATGATCAGTCCAGGAGATGGTGCTGATGGACAACAGTATTAGTTCATAGATGATAAAAGCAAGAAAAATAGATTAAAACTATAATTTCAAAGATGTCCAAATGTGACTGTTTACAGGCATCAGCTGCCGACCGGAAGTTATGCATATATGTATAGAGCGTATCAGGGCCTTTCAGGTTCTATGGGTCTATCCCAGACCCGAACATGAGTGTCATTTGTGTGTGTGTGTGTGTGTGTGTGTGTGTGTGTGTGTGTGTGTGTGTGTGTGTGTGTGTGTGTGTGTGTGTGTGTATATATATATAAATGTATCATGTGTGCAAATGTATGGATTATCTATGTGTATCCTCTGTGTATATGTATGGAGTATCATTTGTGCATATATGTGTGAAGTGTATCATTTATGTTTATGTATAAAATGTATCCTGTGTGCATATGTATAGAGTGTGTCATGTGTGCATATATGTATAAATTATACCATGTGTGTTTATGTGTAAAGCATGCATATGTATGGAGTATATCATGTGTGCATATATGTATTGAGTGTATCAGGGCCTTTCAGGTTCTATGGGTTCATCAACTCCCAGTAACTCAGTGGTAACGTCACTCACCTTTCACGCCAGAGTCCCGGGTTCTATCCCAGACCCTAACATGAGTATCATTTGTCTATATATATAAAATGTATCATGTGTGCAAATGTAAGGATTATGAATGTGTATCCTTTGTGTATATGTATGGAGTGTGTCATGTGTGCATAAATGTATGGAGTGTATCATTTGTGTTTATGTATAAAATGTATCATGTGTGCATATGAATAGAGTGTGTAATGTGTGTATCCCACTCACCTTCCTTTTCCAGACCCTAACTTGATGGTCATGTGTGCATATGTATGGATTGTGTATATGTATGGAGTGTGTCATGTGTGGATATATGTATAAAGTGTGTATATTTATAAAATGTATCATATGTCCATATATGTATAGAGTGTATGATGTGTTTATGTATAAAGTGTGTATATGTTCTGAGTGTATCATCAGTGTATATGTATGGAGTGTGTCATGCATGAGTATGGAGTGTATCATGTGTGACTATGTATGGACTGTGTATCGTGTGTGCATATGTATAGCGTGTATCATGTGTGCAAATGTTGAACTGTGTATCATATGTGCTTAAGTATGGAGTGTATCATGTATGCATATGTATGTAGTGTGTCATGTGTGCATATGTATGGAGTGAATCATGTGTGCATATGTATGCATATGTATGCAGTGTGTCATGTGTGCATATGTATGGAGTGCATCATGTGTGCATATGTATAGAGTGTGTCGTGTTCATATATGTATAGAATGTATCATGTGTGTTTATGTTAGTGTGTATGATATATGTTTATGTATAATATGTGTACATGTATCATGTTTGTATATGCAAGAAATGTATTATAAGTGCATATGTATGGAGTGTAATATTTGTATATGTAAAGACTGTATCATCTGTGTGAATGTATAGAGTGTGTATATGTATAGAGTGTGCATATGTATAGTGTATCATGTGTGTAAATGTATAGAGTTTATATATGTATGTAGTATATCATGTGTGCATATGTGTCCAGAATATATCATGTGTGATTATGTATGGAGTGTATCAGGTCCTTTCTTTGTATGGGTTTATCAACTCCCAGTAACTCAGTAAAAACATGACTCACCTTTCACGCCAGAGACCCGGGTTCTATCCCAGAGCCTAACATGAGTGTATATGTGAATATGCATGGAGTGTCACGTGTGTTTATTTGAGGAAAGTTTCATGAGTGTGTATCTGTATAGTGTGTATCATGTGTGCATGTGTATGGTGTGTGTATATGTAATCTATAGAATGTATGGATCATGTATATCATGAATATCATGTGTATCTTGTATGGTGTGTATATGTATAGAATGTATTATCTATGTATATGTATAGAGTGTATCATGTGTGCAAATGTATGACTCACTTTTCATGCCAGAGACCCTGGTTCTATTTTAGACCCTAACATGTGTGCATATGTATAGAGTGTTTCATGTGTCCATATATCTATAGAATGTATCGCGTGTGTGTGTGTGTATGTGTGTGTGTGTGTGTGTGTGTGTGTGTGTGTGTGTCATGTGTGTATATGTATTGAGTGTATCATGTGTGTTTATGTAAGAAGCGTATTATGAGTGCATATGTATGGAGTATATAATGTGTGCATATATGTATAGAATATTTCATGTGTGTATGGAGTGTATCAGGTCCAGGTATTATATCAACTCCTAGTAGCTCCGAGACCTGGGTTCTATCCCAGACCCTGACATGAGTGTTATGTGTGTGTATATGTAAGGAGTGTATCATAAGTGTGTATATGTATGGAATGTACCATCTGTGTATATGTATAGAGTGCATATGTATAGAACGTATCATTTGTGCGAATGTATGGACTGTGTATATGTACATAGTGTATCATCTCTGTATGGAATGTGTCATGTGTGCATATGTATAGAGTGTGTTGTGTGTGTATGTATAGAATGTGTCATGTGTGTATATCTAAATAGAATGTATCATGTGTGCTTATGTATGAAGTGTACCAGGTCCTTTCGTCGTATGGGTTCATCAACTCTCAATCTTAACACATATATATACACAGTACAGTATATATACAGTTGATGTCTGAATTTATTTTTTTCATATTTCCCAAATTATATTTAACAGAGCAAGGAAATTTTTACAGTATGTCTGATAATATTTCAGCTAGAAAAGCAGTTTTTAATTAAAAAAAAATATTAATAATTTTAAGTTTAAAATTATTAGCCCTTTTATGCCATATATTATAGTCTACAGAACAAACCATCATCATAAAATAACATGCCTAATTACCCTAACCTGGCTAGTTAACCTAATTAACCTAGCTAGGTCTTTAAATGTCACTGTATAGAAGTGTCTTGAAAAACATCTAGTAAAATATTATTTACTGTCATCATATCAAAGATAAAATAAAGTTACATACCGTTATTATGAGTTATATTCAGGGGGTCTCATAATTCTAACTTCAACTATAGATAGATAGATAGATAGATAGATAGATAGATAGATAGATAGATAGATAGATAGATAGATAGATAGATAGATAGATAGATAGATAGATAGATAGATAGATAGATAGATAGATAGATAGATGTGTGCGTGCGTGCGTGCGTGCGTGTCATTTACAATGAGTGATGTTTAACTCTAATTTTAACTCTTATAGCACCACCACGTGGAATAAATGACCACATACTGCTAAGAGATGCATAGATAAATTATAGTCTGATGCATATATGGACTGTATTAATACGTTAACGTGATGTGTAAAGAAAACGTGAATGAACGAATCAACACTAATGAGTTAACCGAAAGGCACCAAAATGTGTCAAACGCTGTGGGAGGATAAGTTTGTAGACAGATTATGGCCACTAGGAGGCGCAGCTTGTAACATCCCGTCATTGTTTATTCCAAAATGACGGAAAACAGCGCGTCGCCGGAGGATCCCTGGCTAAAAGTAAGCAAAACTAGTCACATAAAAAACATATTTTGGTTTTATACAACCCTTTCCTTCAGAATCACCCTCGTGATGCGTGTGTCTTTTAATCGCTGGTCCGTAGGGTTTGGTTTCACTCTCTAGCTCAGCTGGCTAACCTTAAAGTTCAGCAAGTCAAAGAACAATTATCCTCCTTCCCACATGACCCTAATCTGTCTTTCCAGAGCTGATATTGAAAACAAATCACTGCCGAAACAAAAACATTTATTATTCTGAAGGTTTATTTGAATAACAGTCTGTTTAAGCTATGTTGTTGATAGTATTAAGGAAGCTATGTAACAGATGTGCAAGAGTTGAAACCGCTAAGCTAACTTGCTTGTTGGCTACATTGACTATATCTGGATGTGTTTCAAAACGTATGTAACTGCCTATCTAGGCTGACAGTTTATTTGGCGCAGACAATTCGTTCGAACTACCGAACCGACTCCCTTGAAGGACTCGATTCTACCAGGTTCTTTCTTTTGTTTGTTTGACCCTTTGTTTGATTTCTTTATTGTCCCTTTTTTAACGTTATTCTCTTCATACGCACTAAATAAAGTACACCCTCATTTCCACACGCTAATGGCACTGTGACAATATGGCAGTGATTGCTCAATCTGAAAGTTTTGAGACACAATATGTATGTAGATGAAATATCAGCTTTTAAAGGGATTTATTTGGGACACATCACAGTAGGGAGTTAGATGTGTCCTAGATAAAGGTGTAAGGCAGGACAGGTCACTCAGCCTGTGTTTGGGTTGGTTATCAACATCAGTGTGTCTTGTTTTGACTGTTTTTTCTGTTTGTCTTTCTCCACCTCCTGTCACCATGTCTCAGCAGACGGATGGCACCTTCAGTGACAACGGCTTTGACCACAGTAAGTAGATCAATAAGTCTCAACTGTCAGTCGATACCAAGATGAAAAAAATGACTTTAATAACGAAAATCAGAAAGGTTATTATAGCAAGCTGTCTTTAATATTTCTAGAAATATATCTAATGTCATGCTACCTGTACTTTTTGATACTAGTATCATTTTAAGTACTATTACTTATTGATACATGCATTTCTACTTAAACATAGAAGAAAACCTCTCTCATAGAGAGAAACATAGTTTAGTGCACTGTCCTGCTCCTAACGTTTGTGTAATACTTTATTTTTAAATTAAGTGAACTATTTAGCAGTTTTGACGCAAAACAATTTAGCGCTTTTGTCATTTATTAATGATTTATTAATGATTAAAAAGTCTGTCGATAACTTGTGTTTGTTTGAATATTTCTTTTATTCTGAATTTTTTTTGCCATAAAGATAGCCAGTAAATCTGACATAGCATTAAATAAAAGATGTGAAAAGATACGACATTAGTACTCATTAATTTGTACTTTTTAATAGATAGAAGTACTTTTCATTAGATACTACCTATTAAAGCATCTGTTTATAGGTACCAGTATGTAACGATAAAGCACTAGAGTCTAAATAATAGAAACTAGTGTCAAATAATCTTCAATCAGTGTATAAAATATGTCACATTTGGAATACATAGTTGCCAAAACTAGATGTACATACTAGTGAAAATAGATCCCTATATACAAAAATGGAAACTATGTTAAATTAGAATAACAGCCCCCCTCTTTATTTTCCCCCAATTTCTGTTTAACAGAGAGATTTTCTCAACACATATCTAAGCATAATAGTTTTAATAACTAATTTCTAATAACTGATTTCTTTTATCTTTGCCATGATGACAGTAAATAATATTTGACTAGATATTTTTCAAGACACTTCTATACAGCTTAAAGTGACATTTAAAGGCTTAACTAGGTTAATTAGGTTAACTAGGCAGGTTAGGGTAATTAGGCAAGTTATTGTATAACGATGGTTTGTTCTGTAGACTATCCAAAAAAAAATTGGCTTAAAGGGGCTCATAATTTTGACACTAAAATGGCTTTTAAAAATTAAAAACTGCTTTCATTCTAGCCGAAATAAAATGGATAAGACTTTTTTCAGACGAAAAAATATTATCAGACATAATATTTTTTGCTCTTTTAAACATCATTTGGGAAATTTTTAGAAAAGAAAGTGATGCACTAGGGTAACAAGGTTATTAGTTCTATAATAGTTACTTAAAGCTAATATATTAATTACAAACATGCACGTATGAAAACTAATTCTATCATTCTATTTTTTTTTTATCTATAAAACTAACACTAGTATTAAAAACTGTTTGCTTTGTTCTGTGCAATATTGGACTTACCAAACACATGACAATTTTATTGAAATATTTACATTTTCCTTGACCTCCATATCTCTAGGTTTTTTTGCAGAGAGCGCACGTAAAGGAAGTTTGGTGTCTAGAGCCAACAGTATCGGATCCACAAGTGCCTCTTCAGTACCAAACACAGGTGATGATACTGCTATTTATTCAGTGTCAAACATAGCCGTTTGTTGTGTATATCAAACTCTTTACTCTGAATTTCCCATTGTTTCCTGTTCAGAATCACAAGGTTATTCATCAGTCACCTTTCACTGTGAATGATTCATCCATGCATGCATTTTATTCATTCCCTTTTCCTTCTTTTTATTATCGTCTTAACTGGATTTTCCTTTGGTGATTTTGCATGACAGACTTCATGTATATTTAAATACGTTTTAAACAGCTGACTTGTTATAATCTTTTTTGATAATCCACTTGAGTAACAGAGTGAATGAAAATGTGTCAATATTTCCCTATTATCTGCATTTTAAGATGGACAATGAAATACTTTTGTTATCAATTTAGTTTATTTTGTTTTGTGTCTTTTGCTTCAGTTTTTTTGTGTGATCTTAATGACTGCTGATGGCTAACAGATATTTGTTCCTCCCATTGGTTTAGATGATGAAGACAGTGACAACAGACATGAGACGCCTTATAAAGAGTCATATAAAGACCGCAGGAGGCACGCACACACGCAGGCAGAGCAGAAACGCAGGGATAATCAAGGTATGTGTGACGCTTTTCAGGCTAACAGACAGACACATGGAAAAAAGTAGCTGACGAAATAAAAGTCTTTTCTGGTTTATTAGTACACTAGTATGACAAACTAGAGTAACCAGTTTGGTTTGGATTCAAAGTAGAGTGATCATTCTTTTTGTAATTGACTTTAAAATACAAATGCCCAGTCTTAAAGGGGAAAAAAGGTGATGAACGTTTTAAGAATACAATAAGCAGTTTATACAACTGACCCTGTTGGAATTGCTGTTTCTTCTTTCTCTTCTTTTTCTTATCCAGAATGAATCGCTATTTTGTTTAGATTTTGATCTAAACATGCCCGAAAACTCACAAAACATTGCATCTGCCCCAGAAGTAGCAAAAATTTACGTTTGTTATAGGTTTCCGAAGTGGGCGTGGCAAAATGACATGACAGCTCCACCCATGCACATTAAACAGACTAGCCTCCAAGCTACGATTCACGCACACATATTAAAACTGACAGACCTGCCTGAAAATTCTCACGTTCGATAAGATTCCTCTCCTGAAGACATCTGCATGCCAATATCGAGTCACAGTCATAGCACCACCTGCTGACAGAAGGAAGTTTGGCATATATTGATGATTTCTGAATTTTTTTTTAGATATTTATCAGCTTAATATATTATTGTTCGCTGTGCTCTGTCATCCTGAGGCCACCGAGTGGTCCCAGGTCCCTTTCATTGCTGCTTGCAGCTTTAATTTGACTTGTGTTTACTAGTTTAGGAAACATAATAAATCTAAGAAATAGAAAAAGGTAACACTTTCATTTAAGGTGTCCATATATATGTTCCACTACTTACATATACGTACACCAATTATAAAAATGAGTTAGTTATGCATAATTACGCACAACTAACCTATATTTAGTAGGTACATGTAATTAATTGACATGTAAAACAGTAGTTACATAAATAGTTACACTGTAACAAGGACATAAAGAAAATGTATCAAATAAAATCAAGAAAATTTTGTGCTCATTTTATGGCGGCTCTTTGGAGGGGACCTAAGTAGGATCATTATTATTATAAAAACTATTATTGCTATTATGATTATTTTAAAGCTCTACGTTTGCTGTTGTACGTCTGTTGATATGTTTTGTTGATTTGCATCATTAGGCCACAAAAAAATACAAAAATAAATCAATTTCACAATGCTGTATATTATTGCTACTACCAGTTAAGTGAAAGAAATAATAATATTGTAATATGTCAATGTAAAAATAAAGTGTAAGAATCAATTTAATTTTAGCAGTTGTAAACGTATGTTATAATGTTTATATTAAATCTTAATTACTTTTTATTTTTAAAACATCAGGCTTTTATTTTGCTGGAAAACTACAGCGAGATTAGCACATTGTATTTCCAAGTGCAAAACCCAAACTCTTGGCAGATACTAAGATGAGTTGTGTTTACTTTGCACCAAGCCATTGAAAACCCTAAGTAGCTTGCTTATAAAATAGCACAGTTCTGCATGTTGCAAGTTTAACTCCTTCAAATTATCTCCATGGATCTTTAATCTCACAGAAAGGCTATGATGACCTGCAGTCTATAGTGCCTACATGTCAGCAGCAGTCAGACTTCTCCATGGCCACACAAAAGATGAGCAAAGCTACAGTCCTGCAAAAGAGTGAGAACCTTCAATACCTATTTATATGCTGTTGTCATCTTGTGTGGAATGAAAAGGCTCAGCAACTTTATATGTGTGTGTGTGTGTCTGTGTGTGTAGCAATCGACTACATTCAGTTTCTCCACAAAGAAAAGAAGAAGCAGGAAGAGGATGTTTCCACACTTAGGAAGGAGGTGATGGCGCTGAAAATTATGAAAACGTGAGTAGTTGGTTATTTAGAGGGGGGCCGGAAACATTTTAACAGCTCATGCAGACAAGTATAGATTCAGTTACACTCCTGTAGGGCTTTTTCAGGTTTCATAAGGCTTTATCTGACACCATCATTCTTCTGTTAAGAAAGATAAAAAACACCCTTTTAGGAGAACAAAGTTTTCAACCAAAAACAACTATTTTTAAGAGTTTTTCCTGTTCGTTTACAAAACAGCATTTTTGGGGACTAAAAATGGGTCACAAGGTAGAAGTTTTTGAAAACGCTGCAATTGTTGAGTGTGTGTAAACGCCTGAAAAAACAATCTTTGAAATTTATGACGTCATGTGTGCTGAATGGTATGCATTTAGTGTAATGTAGATTAAAGACAAGCACAAACACATAACATTGACAGAGTATGTGGAGGTGTTGTTGTTTGCTAACAATCCATAATCTAAGTGTCGATTTACTTCATATTACAACTAAAAGTGGAGACGCATCTTACACACACACACTGCAAATTTTATGTACACACCAGCAACAAGCTGCCAATGACCTTTTGTCACTTCCTTAAAGGTAGCACTAACAAGTAGACCAAATACTGGCCTGGCATATGTAATACAGTCCTTTTGTAAATGTGTAAAGCAGTGGTCACACTAGAGTTTGAGGTTGCAAAATTCTGTCATATTACGCTGTGAAACTGGGCAGGATAAAACAAGATGATTAAGACATCAAATTATGGAGCAATTGCTTGCTTTATGAAATTTCAGTACAGAAAAGTCACGTTTGGAATGGATCATGCAGTTACGTGATGCGATTTCACAGGTCAGGGTTCACTGAACTTTTGAACGCAGTGAATCTTGTTGCAGGAGCTTGTGTTTCTGGTCTGTTGAATTTGCATGCGTTTGAAAGGAACTCACTGTACCGTTCACACTACACGACTTGATTTTGTGTCTTTAAATCGCTGTGGTGTTTACACTACGCAACACTACCTAAATTATCCACAAGAGGGGGTCACACACTACATGATCTGACAACAACTCGTTCCACAACAGCTCAGTCAAGCACAGCCAATAAAATGTTGAGGGAGGAGACAGCAAAAAAAACTGAACACTATTGGCTGCTTGAGTGCTGATAACATCACTGACCGTAGCTATGTTTCCATCCAAAAATGCTAAATAAATTTATGCGCAAAACTGGATTATTGCATAAAAAATATATATGTATAAAGCAGCGTTTCCATCCAACAAGTCAAAGCCAACAAAATTGTCTCTTCTTGATTATCTGGCACCAAATATCAACAGTAAAAACGGAATTTGCTGCGGTAGGAGAAGCTGCGCGAATCTTTTCATTTAATAAATGACTTGCACTTTAGAAGGCAATCCCGACACGCAGTGGGCGCGTGGTGAAATTTGAAGGCGTGAGACGTGGAGCACTTTTCTAAAAGCTTTAAAGGAAATGTTTAAAAATATTGTCAGTCAGCTGATGCATCAGCAGATCAGTCGCTCATTTGCAAGGTTTACTAAAAGTGAGGTCCAGGGGCCTGTTTCAGAAAGGAGGTTAAGTAAAGTATTTTAACCCTGAAATGAGGGAAACTCTGGGTTTTCCGTTTCAAAATGGCAGGTTTGTCAAACTGGAGAAACCAGGGTAAGTCAAGCCTGTTTCTGAAAGAAAGGTAACTTTAACTCAGAGTCAGTTACCATGGTAACTTACTCTGTGAACCTAACCTGGTCAGAAGCAGGTTTTATTCTCTAAACTCAGAATTTCTGTTGGTCTCCTCCCTTTTTTAAAGATGAAGTGTTTTTTCTCGCCGTAGCCTTACGTTTCCACCCACTTTTTTGATGCTCATATTTAATATGTGCCTAAAAACGATTGATGGACACGTCATGATGCACATAAGTTTTGAAAATATGCATAAAAACACATGCATAACTGAGTAGGAAAACCTTTTATTCGATAGAAAATATGCGCATAAACTATGATGGAAACACTTTTACTGAACAAATTACAGTATGTGCATTAAAAAAGGTTATGATATGATGATGAAAATGTGTGTAAATGGACAAACCAGCAGGCTGAGCACACTACACATCTTAAATGTTGTTTTGCTCATTTTAAAATGCCTTAACTGTTTCAGTATTAGCGTATATAATTAATTACTTCCGATCATCTGGAGCGTGTTAAGAATCTCCGCGTCTCATGGCTTCAAACGCCCCCACGTGTTCACCGTGTGTCAGCATTGTCTTCTGACTCTGAGGCGCAAGTACATTTATAAATAAAGAAATAATTGACAGCTTCTTCTACCACAGTAAATTCTGTTTTTACTGTTGATAATTAATCAGTTAATCAGGAAGTGACAATTTTGTTATCTTTGACTCGTTGGATGGCAACGCTGCTTTATTCACATCTTTTATGCAATATTCCAGTTTTGCACATAAATTTATGTAATATACTTGGATGGAAACATACATTGCCTACATTTTAGTCACACACAGAACAAAGTCACGTACGAGAATGGCTTGTCCCTTTTTAAAAGCATAAATAATTAGCTTAAATTTACTGACCTTCGACATGTACTGTTACTAGATTAATGGAATTATTATTCTTATAACATTTTTTTCTAGTTCTGCTTACCTTCTAAATGTTATATCAAACTATCACTTGATCAGTAAAAAAGGCAGACACACAAGTTCACTGTTAAATCAATTAATACTTGATAAACATGTATAAATGTTTAGAAAAAAATATAATTGTCAAACATTACATTACTTATTTTATTATACTTAAATATTTAAATGAAAAATTACACATTAACTTGAGCAGCTGTTTTCCCAGGCTGTCTCTGTTTCACTGATGGTTGCTTCGTTTTAAATATATACACTCATATTTGCTATAACTTTGCATCATCACATCAAGTTCAGCTGGAGAAAGAAATGCTGATCTCTTTTTTTAAGATGGTGCCATGGTCACCCGTAATATCTGCCCTCCATTAATAATGCCTTTTTATAGTCACGGTGTGTGAGCTTAACTCTGAGTTGATCTACTCAGCTATTCTGAAACCCAAAACTTTGAGTTTTTAATCTCTCGGTAAATCAACTCAGAGTTTAAGTTTAAACTCTGAGTTGTTTGAACCTCCTTACTGAAACAGGCCCCAGATCTTTGCTGGTGTTCAAGTATCTTAACTAAATATTTATAAGCTATATTACCAAAAAGATATTTTTACAATAATGGTGTCATAAAATATGATGACAGACATTCAAAGCTTAATTTTAAAATCTCAATAGAAGCTTTGAATGTAAATATGATGTCTTATATGAGAACGGTCAGAATGAATGCTATGGTAATTCTGAAAGTTATAGAATTCTAGTTCCACTGTTAATATTTTAGCCTTATCTCGTGTCTGTGTAAACATACAGAGTGAGGCGAGTGCATCAATGCCCGTTCTGGCCAATCACAGACATTTCTGTTGAGCTTCTGAGCACAACAGCCATTCAGCTCATGCTCATATGCTCACTCATTGGCTGCAGCTCGTCACTACATCTGACCGCACATGGGGTTGAGTCGACCAGCTGCTCTGGAATATTCAGCACGCTAGATATTGGATTTTCGTTTGCGAGGTGTTGGCTACGCATCAGCGAGCCTCTTTGATGCGCCATTCGGTTGTTCACACATAAAGACTGCCAAGCGCCGAGCACCCCCAGATTTTTTCCTGATCACAGCCCGATCTGTTGGCAGGCTTGTAACTTTCAAATCGGGTTCAAAACAGGCTTAAAATCCTGTAGTGTGAACTAGGCTTTAAAAGTACAGACACTAGCCAGTCAACACAGAGAATAGTGCTAAGTCAATATGGAGGAAAAGCTTATGATCACGGTTGGTAATCACCCAGTGCCTTATGATCAATCCGTGTATATATTTAATCACTACTACTACTATGCTTTTTTTGTGTCAGGGTCCAAACTGGGTGCGATAGGCTATCGTCAACATGACAATCACGTCAATGTGAAGCTTTTGAACCATCAAGCGTTAAAACCTTTAGATCTTAGAGTGAGGGAGATATTCAGAAAAAAATGTCTTTGTTCAAATGTGTGTCTAAAAGGCAGATTGTGTGGTTTGTTTCAGGAACTATGAGCACATTGTGAAGGCCCATCAGAATAACCCTCAGCAGGGCAGCGAGCAGGTTTCAGATCAGGTGAAGTTCAGTGTTTTTCAGAGCATCATGGACTCTCTGTTCCAGTCCTTCAGTGCCTCAGTGTCGGTCAGCAGTTTTCAGGAGCTTTCCGCCTGTGTCTTCAGCTGGATAGAGGAACACTGCAAGCCACAGGTACACAAGCTCACACATTTAATGGGATAGTTCAACCAAAAATCAAAATGTACCTGCTATCTATTCACCTTCAAGTAAGTTTTTTAAACACAAAATAAATATGTGAATGATTGTTTGTTTTGGCTGAACTATCCCTTAAATTTCATATTTTTCCAGTTTTATAAATTGTTATTATTAAATATTTTTAATATAACATAATTGGGGCTAGAGATTTCCCCAGTCTGACGTATGACAAAATGCATGTTTGGTAAATTTTCTGGTAAAACATTTGGTTAAAGTGGCAAAATGTTAGTTTTAGTCTAAATATTGACCACAACTGTATTTAAAGACTACATCGCTTTGTAAGCTTTGTGTAATTTACTGAATATGGATTGAGAAAAGCTTTAAAATATTTTCACTTCTGTATATATTTTTTATATTTACCCCTTTTACAAAGGCAACATTTAGCCCCATACTAGCCACAGTATTGTTGTTGCAGATGAAATATAACACGGAAAACGCCATTAAAATATATTTTCAGTAGGCTAGATATTTACAGTCAAACAAACATCTCTACCGAAGCCTACTACATGAAGATTGGTCTCGCGCGTACACCATGTTTGTAGTTTTTTTTACAATTTTCACCCGCATGTGTAGTTCTAATCGAATTTACATCGGATGTGCTGTGGGCAATATCAGTGGTTAGAGTATCAACGGTTCTACACTTAATTTTTACTGGAAATAGTAAACCATACATGATTCTTCGGCATACTCTTTTCAGGATACTACTATTTGGGACACACTAATTCTATTTTTAAATACTATTTAGGACAGATAGTATGTGAATTGGGACACAGCATCAGTCATAAACTAGGCTTTTGTTTGTTGTGAATACACACTCTCTAGTGGCAAAAATGACATATTGTGCCTTTAAAGGGCACCTATGATGAGAAATCTACTTTTCAAGCTGTTTGGACAGACGTGTGAAGGTATAGTACAGGTGTGGGCAAACTTGATCCTGGAGGGCCAGTGTCCTGCATAGTTTAGCTCCAACCCTATTCAAACAGACCTCCCTATAGAGTTCAAGTGATCTTGAAGACACTGATTAGTTTGTTCAGGTGTGTTTGACTAGTGTTGGAACAAAACTCTGCAGCGACACCAGCCCTCGAGGATCAAGTTTGCCCATCCCAGATATTGTATATAGACCGTCATATTGGGGTGATATAAACACACCCAGTCCTTTTTTTTTTCAATTTAACAAAATATAAGCGGTGGACTAATTGGAGCGGTTTTGAGACCGCAACTTGATGTAGTAGTGCGGTCCCCCTGCCCACGAATATTGATTGACATGCGCGCATTACCATACCATTTTTTGGTTCACGTCCGCCATTTTCAGTGTGTGAGTCAAAGCGATATCACAAAAAGAACACCCTTGCTTTATTTTTGGCTGTAAGGCTCATTTGGCTCAACACAGGAGCCTTCATTGTCTTCCTGCAAATGAGCAAGAGATTTACATTTAGCGGCCATTTGCGCTGAACACATAGTGAATGCAACATACCGAGAATCAGGCCATTTAAAATAGCTGATCCACTGAGTCTTTCAGCACTCTCTCCAAAAACATTTGATTGATCTCGGCTGGCGGATCAACATTCACCACATGATCGCTCTCATCAGCGCCATTGTTTGTAACTTTAGGTGGGTTTGCAAATGTGTGTACTTTTCATTGCATCTTCCTTAAACTTCAGCCGTCACAGAAGCTCCCTGTCATCTCAACTAGGTGCGGCTGTAAAGTTTGAGCGTGTTGCCTCGTGTGCGCATCCCTCCATTGGAAATAATGAACTTGCCTTAGTTATAGCCTCAGTCTAAGTTAATCCAGTGTGCGTGGTTATTAGTCTCGGTGTACAAGCTCGGAACTTCAAACTAGCACACAGTTGGCATAACTTTTAGTAGCTGCAGTTTTGATTCGTGCAGAAAAACGGTGTTGAGAAGCCTTTATGATTAATTAACCGTGACGAATTAAAGCGCGGTTAATAGTGAAATCGATTAATCATTACATCCCTGTACGGATGATGCATGCATCGTTACATAGCGGCTTTAAAACTATACAAAGACACAAATGATTTTGTAGCTACTACTCTGACACATTCTGGCACATTAGGAATATTGATTCCTCAACAGTAGTCTCTGGTTGGTCTGTGTCCAAGTCGAACATGTACGGCTGAAAAACTAATTTTCATGTGAAGCAGCACACCCCTAAAACAACAACCTGTGTAAACGCCCCCAAAATGACTTTTTTTTTTTTACACATAATAAAGAAATCTGATTTGTGTTTTGAACTGAGCCTAAACTGGCACACTCAGGAGAACCATAATATTAAATCTTAAAAAAAGGGGTGCCCTTTAAATAACTTTTGAAAATGCTTTAAATAACCACGTTTTATTGTTCTTTATTGTTGACAGACGCTGAGGGAGTTTGTGGTGACTGTACTGCAGCAGGTGAATGGTCAACTGTACTGAAGCGGTCAATATGTCTGCCCCTCAGGCTATTATCTTATTCAAGAAAATAAAGACACTTAAATACACACACACACACACACAAAATACAGCAGGGCTCAGCACACTACTGGACTAGAGTGCATTGAAGAACTCTGATGAAATGAAGCAGTGTCAAGTATTGACTGATGTTGTGTAGCATTTATGGCAGTGATTCCAATCAAAAAGTGTGCAAATGCAATAATTTAGCCATATCTGTCAATTTATAACTAGTGATTTAAAAGGTACTAAGAGGGAAAAACATGTTTGAGATTGAATATTCTGTTTCCTCGTACACTTTTAGCTTATGTGTTTTGTTTAGTCAGTGTTTTCAAAAAACACCTCAGTCCTTAAGAGTAATCATATCAGTTCAGTTTTCCCCTCAGTATTTGCATGTTCACAGATAAAACAGCATCCTGACAACCCCAAATAAGAACTGTCTAAAACTGAGGTGTGAAATGTTTCTTAATTTGCTCTATTATAAACCAGACAGCTGCCTGTGAATGATAAAGCCTGGTGTGTTGCGTTAGATTATCACCTTTACCTCATGTTCAAGATGTTTTCCAAAGCACAACTAGGTTTTGGCCTTTGCAATTAGCTTAGTGCTGGAAAGGGGAGCTGAAAGATCTAGTTACACTGTGATGTATCACTGTCAGTTGTTTTTTTAACATCCAAAAACAGCTGTCCTGTACATTTAAAAAAAAAATAAGTCAGGCGATGCTGAGCCATCCTTTCATTTTAAGCATTTAGGTTCCTCTTTTAAGCTACTGTCCTTGGGATTCTGTGACCAAAGATTGCAGCGTCTACGCACAAATAATGGAATATGAACCTCTTATTATCATGTGATGTTGATTTTTGTTCATCTGTGTGTTTGTCGCAATTATGTCCAGTGTTTTATTCTATGTTTATGTTGATAGTTTAAGCTCTTGTGATCAGTATGTGCTGCGTAAGCTATCATTGAAGACATGCAGACATCTTTTTGCTTGGTAGCAACTTCACATGGTGTGACCGCCCAAATCTATTTATATTTATGATGATGTTAATTAAGGCATAATTAGAATTGATGTCAACTCAGGACAGATTTTGGTGTACTGAGATTGTTTAAAATAATAAACGATGAGCAGATGATTGTGCAATCAACTGTGCTGGAATAAGGGACGTCTTTACTAGTGAAGCCATACAATGAAATGCTAACTCACAGAAACGACGCTGCGTCTTGCTCATTTACTATACTCCGCTCTGTGCTTCTGCATTTCTGAATTCAATGAGAGAATCCGCTTGAAATATTTTTGTATCTGTATCATTTTTTAATTGAAAAATAAAGAATGTTCAAACTTATTTACAGCCTGGTGGTTTGTTCCCAAAATAAGAATTATAAATAGAGTTGGTTTTCAATAGAACTGTTCTTTTACTGTCCCAGAATGCATTACTTTGTGACATTTCTAAAGGTCAGGTTTCCTGGCAGCATCAGAATTAATCAGCTTGCCTTTTCGTCAGATGTTGGGCATTGTCACTTTATGGTCCTCGTCTGTTTCAATCCCAGCCTCCTCCTGACAAAACACAAAGGCAACTTTAAAGCTACCATGAAAACACTCGTTTTTACTGAACGTTTTAATTCAGCAATTAAGTAATATTATAATAACTTCCCCTCATTTGACATTCTCATTTTCGGATGATGTGAATATTAATACAAGGGCAAGACAAACTATGAGTTAAATTATATTTCCACAATATTTAGCTAAATAATAAAAATCTATTAATTTCTCAATAGGGAAACAATCTTAAAAAGTAAAAACCAATTTCCTTTCAAAGTCAGACCTATTGTGAGCTCCAAGGTTGTTAATCAACTATATGCTTTTACTCCAACTCACTTAAAAACAATCACGTAATAGCTGAATTTGTGAAGAAAAACTACATCATGTAACGTTTTTTTTTTTTTTCATATTCTGCTATAAAACTATTGTTTAAAATGTAGGTTAGTTGAGTTTAAAATGATGTTGTACAGAAAGTTCCACCAATCAGGCGACTCCGAGCAAGTAAAACATGCCATAATAGCTCCTTAGCTCTGCTCAATCTCATGAAGTCGAGTAGGCCTCTCACTAGTGGTGGGCAGTGCAAGGCTTTATGAAACATTGAAATAGTTGAAGCAGATGTGTGCAAGCTTCGAAACGTTTCGAAACCCCACTCTACAGTGACATCTAGTGGTCATTTTTTAATTTATTGCTCTGTAACTGCTTCAGCAAAGAAACATTTACACAAATGGAGTATTTATATTCTACATTGTAGAATTAAGGTTTCAAGTGATTAAGTGAAGCGGTGGGAGTTCCTGACGAATCCAGGGTGATGCAGCTATAGACATTTGTTTATAAACACTCTGTTCTTGTGACGCATTTTGTTTTAACATTGGTCTGACATCTGAATGAACACTTTGAGAATAAATACGTCTTGTTATGGTCATTAATAAAATGAATAAAAATTAAGTGCAGTTACTCTGAGAACATGGAGTTTTCTGGGAGACAGAACAATACAGGAGATGGGCGGAAGATGGGTCTGAAATACGGGAGACTCCCAGGAAAAACGGGAGTGTTGGCAGGTATGCCTCTTGTTAGAAAGTAATTGCATCATTCTGAGTTCTGAGTAAGCACACATGAGAAAGCAAAACCGCTCGCACTTTAGACGGCCTTGTAAACAACTATGCGGCACGGTAAATTCTGCTCTTCTTGGCTTTGTGGCTGTTCATCAAGACGACGACAAGGTTTGTTTGAGCTTGGGTCAACCATGGCTTGATATTAAATGTATATATTATTACGATGTAATGTCTTCCCGGTGTATTTAAAAGTGGCACTTCATTCGTTTTCATTCTCCTGGCTACTGACATATCTCTGTAAACCAATAGCTGCGTGTCTTGCTCTGCCTTTCGGTACTATTTTGTTGTGCTAGGTACCCTTTCAAAAGGGTACCTAAAAAGTGGTATGGTACGGTTCACTTTTTGGTACCTTTGACAGTGGAAATGGCCATAAAAGCGTACCATACTGTACCACTCCGTAAAGGTGGACCCCAGATTAATAAAGGAAATAAGCCGAAAAGAAAATCAATGAATGACCACTCAGTGTAAACGGGCCAAAAGTCACATGACCTGGGTATTTCGGATCATGCATCGGTGCAGTGTTTTGAAACACTTGCGCTTCAGGATCTCGACACTGTCAAAACATCACTTTAATGTCAGCCATGCCGAACTCCCACTGCTATCAAAAATAATAAAATATGTTTTGCTATAAAATTGTTTCTCCAGATTTGTCTCCTTTTTTAATACAATAGTTTCTTTCGCCATGCTTCATGGGATTGCAGTTCTTTCCCTTATTAAAGCCATCCCTCATTAAAATACACAGTCTTTTAGCTTTGTTTTTTGTCTGATTTTCATATACAATACAAAAAAATGAAATGTTTATGTTCAAGAAGCTGACTCACCAAGAAGTGTTTTTTGCTCTTTGGGTAACCCTCCAAAATAGCTCCCATCATATCGGAAACCTAGCAGGTGAAGAAGAAAACTACTTTAAACCTGTGCTTGGATTGTTTTCAACTAAATATCTGTATAGTGCAAGTTAAATAGCATAACCAAAGGTAAAATGTGTTGGTACGATTGACCATTGACAGTGATAAATAGTACCACATTCTACAAGAGAAGTCTCCTCGGAAATGAACAGCAGCACTATGGCAGCATTATTCAAATGAGTTGGCATTTTGTCATTTGGGTAGAATAAGGTTGTGATTTAATGTTTTTCATGGATCATTACCAGTCTCTTCCTCTTCCTCCACTCTTTTACATAAGTCTCTCTCTCCTTGTAAACCTGAGGGGCAAGAAAAACATTTGTCAGCAACATAAACGAACATAATATTGACTGCCCCAGGACAGCGACATTATCTGAATAAACTTCACCTAATGAATCATACACATTCCAAAGACGCTGAAAGGTTTCATGATGTTATTTTTTGCATTACTTGCAAAAAAACTATTGAAAAGGCTGTGCTAAATAATAAGCAGAGCCCGGGGCCAAGTCAATGAATGCAGCTGTTATTTGTACTAATTCAACAATACGATTTATGCTCATCATTCATTCACAGAGTTTTCTGTCACATACTAAATATTGCTTATTTAAATACAAAACAATGTTACATAACTTAAGTTTTTTTTGGTTGAAATTGTGCGTGTGAGAGATGAAGTTTTACAGGGTGTTTGCATTCATTTATAGATGCTAGCTGTACAATTATTATTAATATTATTCTTGCAGAATTTGCTGAAAATAACTTTTTTTTTGCTTGTGAAAGTCTCTAAGGCTCAATCCCAATTCTATTTATGTACCCCTACCCTTTCCTGTTCCCCAAGGCCCTTAAAACCGAGAGTGAAGGGGACGGGCTTCAAAATTTACCCCTAAGAATTGGGACACCACTACAGCACCTGCACATGGCATCACGATCTCATGCTTCATATGAGATCAGACGATCGTGACTGCTGTAGTGATTCCAGTTGTGCTATTTTTTGGTATTTATCTTTAGGAAATCACTGAAGGCATATATTATGTTATCATAACGCATCTAATGTGGCAATAAGATCGTAACTGTACTGTGTATTTACACAGTGGCCATATTCATCTATGTAAACACACCAAAAACAACATTATAATTATTAATAATATTGACCTTGGCAGATTTTGTCCAATGACTTGCCTAATAAACCTAGTTAAGAATAGTTAATTTGCATTTGAATACTATTATCTTGCAAAATAACTAGTATATAAATAATAATAAACAAACACATAAATTAACATAATAAATTCATTCAGCAATACCCACTGTGCTGCCATAATAAATACAGTTATAAATGATAATAATTCTTATTATAATAATAAAAACAAAATTATTATGTACTGTAGAGCAGTGCAATTAATCGAAAATACGGTTTCGATTTCAAACGATTATGAAAAACCATTAATCGAGATAAACAATTATTCCATCATATACTGCCCCCTTTCCAGTTGTACACATTTGTTGTTCTGCAAAGCTCAGTTCCACTTGAAAATGACTTTTGCAGCACAGGATGAGCATCGTTCATATTTTTAAAAGTGCAAAAGAGCACATGCTGTTTGTGCGCGCACCGCGCTTAGCCTCGGACAGGCTCTGAGATGAGCAGAGCACACACATCTAACGCCATCTTAATGTGAACGCTTAAATGGTCAAATACATGCACATTTGTGTCAGAGCGAAGTGTTTAGTGATTATTCATATTAAAATCTCAGTTGTGTAATAAAGAAACAAGTTGAGAATCAAAAGACATGTGAAAGAGAAACCATATCAGAGCCAGACTATTCTTAGAGTGACAGTGCGCAATATTCCTGCTGCCGACTGTTTTTATCATTAATCAAACAACAATTAATCTAATTAACTAATTAAAGCTTAATTAGTGTAGATAGGCAAGTCATTGTATAACAGTAGTTCCTTCAGCAGACAATTAAAAAATATATATTTTTTAAAGGGATGTTAAGCTATTAAATGATGTCATGCTATTAAAATAGGTTTCAAAATATTTAAACCTGCTTTTATTCTAGCAGAAATAAAACAAATAAGCCATTCTCCACAAGAAAAAATATTATAGGAAATACTGTGAACAACTCCTCTGTTAAACATCATTTGGGAAATATTTATATATAAAAAATTCACAGAAGCGTGAATAATTTTGACTTAATTTTGACTTTGATCGCTTTGAATAATCGTGATTACACATATGACCAAAATATTCGTGATTATGATTTTTCCCATAATCGAGCAGCCTGTCATGGACTCTCATCGTGGTAAATAAAAAGTTTGTTATTACAAATTATTTATAAAAAAATTATTGTATTAAAATGTTTTGAAAAGAAAAACGGCACCAGGGAAATATTTGAAAAAGAGGAAGACAAGGGTTACCCTAACCCTAATTTTGTCTTCAACTGGATATAAACTATAAAATTCCTGGCAAGCAGAAAAAAAAATCTGATCTGTAAACAGATTTTACATTATGCATTTGACAAACAATGATCACCGGACATTAAAGAGTGCAGTGATTTTCAAACCTTCTCCCTCTCCTCAGGGGTCACATGATTTGTAGCTGATTTGATGTTCTCCAGCCGCTCTCTGTACCCAGAAATCTCTGCCTGCAGCTCCTGGATCTGTGCCTTCATCTCTGCCGTGGTTAATGAGCTGTTTAACTCCTTTAGCTCTGTGGGCACAGGCATGAACTTTCTACCAAACGCAAATGTGTGTACAAGTTCAAGCAACACATCTTTTCCCAGCAGAACAATGAAAGTACACACCTGTATCCAGCTGCCGGCAGCTCTGTGAAATGCTCTGTACTTCTGTATTGATTTCCCCAATACGATCATCCATCTTCCTAAGGTCAGCGTCACTCACATCTTCAAACTGAGACTGAAGGAACAGAACAGACATCTGTCAGGCTGATTCAGCAACACCAGACCCTAAATGAAGTTTATAACCAAGTCAAATGATTTTAACAAGACAGAATGTAAGACAGGACATCATTTTGTTCACCTGGGATTGATTGGATTGTTGTTGTTTTGATTTGTAGTGATTTCAGGCAGTGCTGCAGTAAGCACGTCATCAGACAATAGATTATGTTATTCAAGAGAATTTTATTTTCAAAGTTATTTGACTCTGGTTTTGGAGAGCTGTTTCTGAAAGCAGTTAGAACATTGTATAGCAGGTGTAATAGTTTTGTCAAACTTACGCATGGTACCTCGCAAAGATTTGATATTCATTGTCGTATTAGAATAGGTTGCCTTCTCTCTCCATTTTTATTTTTATTAGTTACTCAAGTTTTAGCACTGCATATTAAAATAAGTTAATTTAATGGTATCATTGCTTTTGAAGTACAATTTGTCAATACGAAGATGATTCAGCAATTTTTCAGAAAAACAGATTTGGAGTACCAAAAACGATCAGATATATTGAGGAATTCACTAATGTTTCAGGCCTTACAATAAATCTGGAAAAATCTGTATTGTTTCCCCTTAAAGAATGCTCCTTTATAAAAAAAAATCGAAAATATTCCTGTTAAACATACATTAAGATATCTGGGTGAAATCATTTATAAAAAAATAAATAGAAGAAATAAATAAAAAAAGAGAGAGAGACGAAAGTTGTTTTGATTTCAAGGGCTCATTAATACATTCTTTTAATAATTTAAAATTATTTACTGCAGATTTTTGTTTAATTGTTTATTTAACAAATTATATTTTAAACAGTCACTCCAGTCATTTTCAATTATATAGACTTTTCTTGTATTGGCACTGGATGAATCAGTGTATTTGAACAAATCTTTTGAATGAATGACTCATCGACTCACTCATAAAAACTATGGCTGTGTCCGATTCTCCTGTTACTCAGTAGGTACTGCATTTGAATTTAAACATACTACTCGGCCGTTAGAAAAGTGTGTTGTATACATTATGTAGGTTCTAGAGGTCAATCCAATCTTCACAGCCCAACGCCCTCCATTATAATGTATTATATGAGGCATTGGACCAACCTGATCTGCAAAGTAGATCTTCTGCTTTCCGTAGACTTTCTCTTTAATCTTGCCTTCCTGGGCCAGCTGCTCCACTGCTTTGACCACTGCCTGTAAATGTGCAGAAAAATCAAAGTTTTTAACCTTTAACTTCTTGACAGTTAATATTGTAATTAAAATGATTAAATATATTTTTCAAAAAGTCTCTGTAATAAGCATAAATCACACATTCCCAATTTACAAAATGTTTGTAAAGTGCTATAAAAAAAAAAGAAAATTAGCCGAATTATCTTTATCTGCTGGACAGATGTCTTTAAAACACAACTAATGAAATGTCATAGATATTTACATTAGACGTCACCTATGCTATTGTTGTCCATAGAATTGAGGAACTATGACGTCAATTTGTATGCAAAAACCCGGAAACGAGTTAGCATTTTAGCAGTTCCGGTTCCCTCAGTAAAATCACTTAAATAAGGTTTGGGGCTAACACAAACTCAAGATACTTTCACGTTTTGTTCTACAACATGAAACACATCAGTTATATCACACTCTTGAATTTTTAAATAAGTTATGCTTCTTTAAAAAGACGGTTGCTATCAAGTTACTAAATGGGACTACAGGCAGTGTCAGAGATATTATACGTCATTGAGCTGATCTGGTCTAGAGCACAGCTTGCTTGTGTTGGGCATTTGGATTTGTCTGTGATTCAAGTATTTTCATCAATAGTATTTTATAGTTTGTAGTATTTTTCTAATTGGGGTTTCATTTTGTGTGTAGATAATGCCTTCAGTTGTAAAGGCTGTCGAGACACATTCATTTGTTGATCTTTTATTTTAATTAAACGATATTATGAAGATACAGCTTACCAGTGCAGTCGGTCACTTTCCTGCTCTCAGTAATGCAAACGCGACAATAAATGTGTAAAAATACATGCATGTTAACTGTCATTTTAACGTGATCAAGTGATCTTTTGTCGTTTTTTTTCTTCATCAGAACACATTGATCTCTGTCATAACTGCAGTATTTACACTCCTCCATAAAATGTACAGCAGATGTGACTGTTTGGGCTGCTTTTCGCTGTACTTCGTGACATAAAAATAATATTGAATGTTGTTCTGTGTCTATGATAGAACTTGCAGGCATTTGATAGACTTGTTCCTCACGCCTCATTTCTGTCGTCTGTTAAGGTAAGCAGGCTGTGTGCACGCAAGCGATACAGTTATTATGGTGGCTTGAAAAGCCAACATACTGTTATCTCACTTAAACTTATTATTAGGCTGGCTTGTGTAGCAAGCCAGACTACTGTTATCCTATTAAACTTAATATTATTAGGCTGGCTTGTGTAGCAAGCCAGACTACTGTTATCCTATTAAACTTATTATTAGGCTGGCTTGTGTAGCAAGCCAGACTACTGTTATCCTATTAAACTTATTATTATTTTTATTATTAATATTATTATTCTTCTTCTGAGACTAAAAATTAAACTCTATCTCCACCTAGACCTTTCAAGCTATGACCATCAAACTCGGGTCAGACCTCCAAACTATTCTGACTCGAGTTGCTATATCCTTTCCGACTGATCCGACTTTCGGTTTCCCGAAAAACGTCCCGGGACCGTCGGAAAAATCCCATAGACATAACATTGGGTCAAACTTTGTGACCTCATAACTCCGCATCAGAATGTCACACAGACTTCTAACTGGGCTCATTTAACTCAGACTATCAAACTGCCAATGACTGATCACCTTTAAACTTTCTGGCCACGCCCTAGCAACCACTTTTGGACCCTAGAAACCGTCCCATAGACTTCCATTGCAAAAGACTCTCATTGACTTAACATGGGATCAAACTTTGTGAGCTCATAACTCTGCATCAGACTGTCCTACAGACTAATGATTGATCTCATTTAACTCAGTCTAGCCAGCAGCCAATCACTGATGGCCTTTTAACTGTCTAGCCACACCCTAACAACCAGATACTGCACCCTAGCAACTGTCCCATAGACTGCCATTAAAGAGGTTCAGACTGATATTGTCATGCTGCAGTGTGATAGAGACATGGGGGTTGTTTTTAACTGTTCATACTGGCAAGAAGCTTTGATACATCATCAGTCTAAGCTGTCAATCAACTCCATAGCAACAAAACAGATTTACCTAGCAACGATATGGCACCAGCTATATCTCAGCATCAGAACATCGTAGAGAGGCGGGGGTTGGCTTGTTTGACTCATGCTCTTACACCATCTATCTATCTATCTACCTCTACCTATCTATCTATCTATCTATCTATCTATCTATCTATCTATCTATCTATCTATCTATCTATCTATCTCTATCTATCTATCTGTCTGTCTGTCTGTCTGTCTGTCTGTCTGTCTGTCTGTCTGTCTGTCTGTCTCTATCTATCTATCTATCTATCTATCTATCTATCTATCTATCTATCTATCTATCTATCTATCTATCTATCTATCTATCTATATACCTACCTCTATCTATCTATCTATCTATCTATCTATCTATCTATCTATCTATCTATCTATCTATCTATCTATCTATCTATCTATCTATCTATCTATCTGTCTATCTATCTACCTCTTTCTATCTATCTATCTATCTATCTATCTATCTATCTATCTATCTATCTATCTATCTATCTACCTCTATCTATCTATCTATCTATCTATCTATCTATCTATCTATCTATCTATCTATCTATATATCATGCTAATAATATGCTAATTTATGCTAGAAACATGCTAGTTACATGCTAATTCATGCTAGAATCATGCTAGTCACATGCTAATTCATGCTAGAATCATGCTAGTCACATGCTAATTCATGCTAGAATCATGCTAGTCACATGCTAATTCATGCTAGAATCATGCTAGTAACATGCTAATTCATGCTAGAATAATGCTAGTAACATGCTAATTTATGCTAGAATCATGCTAGTAACATGCTGATTCATGCTAAAATCATGCTAGTAACATGCTAATTCATGCTAGAATCATGCTAACAACATGCTAATTCATGCTAGAATCATGCTAACAACATGCTAATTCATGCTAGAATCATGCTAGTAACATGCTAATTCATGTTAGAATCATGCTAACAACATGCTAATTCATGCTACAATCATGCTAGTAACATGCTAATTCATGCTAGAATCATGCTAACAACATGCTAATTCATGCTAGAATCATGCTAGTAACATGCTAATTCATGTTAGAATCATGCTAACAACATGCTAATTCATGCTAGAATCATGCTAGTAACATGCCAATTCATGCTAAAATCATGCTAACAACATGCTAATTCATGCTAGAATCATGCTAGTAACATGCTAATTCATGCTAGAATCATGCTAGTAACATGCTAATTTATGCTAGAATCATGCTAGGAACATGCTAATTCATGCTAGAATCATGTTAACAACATGCTAATTTATGCTAGAATCATGCTAGTAACATGCTAATTCATGCTAGAATCATGCTAGTAACATGCTAATTCATGCTAGAATCGTGCTAGTAACATGCTAATTCATGCTAGAATCCTGCTAACAACATGCTAATTCATGCTAGAATCGTGCTAGTAACATGCTAAATCATGCTAGAATCCTGCTAACAACATGCTAATTCATGCTAGAATCATGCTAACAACATGCTAATTTATGCTAGAATCATGCTAGTTACATGCTAAATCATGCTAGAATCTTGCTAGTAACATGCTAATTCATGCTGGAATCATGCTAGTAACATGCTAATTCATGCTAGAATCATGCTAACAACATGCTAATTCATGCTAGAATCGTGCTAGTAACATGCTAATTCATGCTAGAATCATGCTAACAACATGCTAATTCATGCTAGAATCATGCTAGTAACATGCTAATTCATGCTAGAATCATGCTAGTAACATGCTAATTCATGCTAGAATCGTGCTAGTAACATGCTAATTCATGCTAGAATCGTGCTAACAACAAGCTAATTCATGCTAGAAACATGCTAATTCATGCTAGAATCATGCTAACAACATGCTAATTCATGCTAGAATCATGCTAGTAACATGCTAATTCATGCTAGAATCGTGCTAACAACATGCTAAATCATGCTAGAATCATGCTAACAACATGCTAACTCATGCTATAATCATGCTAGTAACATGCTAATTCATGCTAAAATCATGCTAACAACATGCTAATTCATGCTAAAATCATGGTAGTAACATGTTAATTCATGCTAGAATCATGCTAATAACATGCTATTTCACACTAGAATCATGCTAATAACATGCTAATCTATCTATCTATCTATCTATCTATCTATCTATCTATCTATCTATCTATCTATCTATCTATCTATCTTTCTATCTTTTCTTACTTTTTAAAACTGTTTAAACTAAATAAACTATTACCGTCAGGCTTTCACAAGCCAGCCTCAAAGTTTGTTCTCAAACTTTAAGAATCTAGTTATTATTATTCTATATTATTCTTCTTCTGAGACTAAAAATTAAACTCTATCTCGTCCTAGGCCATTCAAGCTATGACCATCAAACTTGGGTCAGACCTCCGAACTATTCTGACTCGAGTTGCTATATCCTTTCCGACTGATCCGACTTTCGGTTTCCCGAAAAACGTCCCGGGACCGTCGGAAAAATCCCATAGACGTAACATTGGATCAAACTTTGTGACCTCATAACTCCGCATCAGAATGTCACACAGACTTCTAACTGGGCTCATTTAACTCAGACTATCAAACTGCCAATGACTGATCACCTTTAAACTTTCTGGCCACGCCCTAGCAACCACTTTTGGACCCTAGAAACCGTCCCATAGACTTCCATTGCAAAAGACTCTCATTGACTTTACATGGGATCAAACTTTGTGAGCTCATAACTCTGCATCAGACTGTCCTACAGACTAATGGCTAGGCTCATTTAACTCAGTCTAGCCAGCAGCCAATCACCGATGGCCTTTTAACTTTCTAGCCACACCCTAACAACCAGATACTGCACCCTAGCAACTGTCCCATAGACTGCAATTAAAGAGGTTCAGACTGATATTGTCATGCTGCAGTGTGATAGAGACATGGGGGTTGTGTTTAACTGTTC